CATGCATACTACCCTTTAGGACTAAGCCCCGGGTGTTTCAAATGTCTGGCTCCGCCTCTGATTACAGGTATTGGCATAATCTCATATTAATCTTTATTACTTGTGCAGTCATACACACCTTGCATTTTGTGCTTGCTAAAGAGGGAAGCTCAGTCAGCTAGTGGAGGGTCATAAGCTTTGTTTGGCGCTATGTCCAGACAATCTATTGTGTGAGGGACTTTGAGCTATGGAAAGAACATGCTTACAAAACACATATACCAGGTTATTCATTAGTATCTTTTTATTCGTTTACATCCTTTTTATTAAGCTTTGAGTAGTGGCATTTTGGTAAAGCATTTATTCAATAGATTACATATGTTCTTAGTTAAGATTATTACACATATTACAGAGAGCTTCTGTCTGGTAAAAGGTCAGAAGCGTCAACGGGTGGAGTGAGGCCGAGTGCATTTTGAGGCCAAGACACACACAAACAGTAGTTAGACTCATGTTTAGGTAAGAATTCAAATAATAAGTTTGCAAAAACTTCTGACGGCAAGATTGTGTCTGCCTAAGGGACAGTTGGCTGCAGGAGATAAGTGAGAATCAGCGCCTGGCCTCGAGACGGAGAGAAGATTCTTTTTAAATGTGTTGTCCACATTTATTGTTTTGTACCGTCTTGACGCATGAGGGGGCGTCATAAATAATACCCTGATGTTATAAAGCAACTGCTTGTGTATTATTGGGCGGAGATCAATGCTGGTGTGTGCAGTGTTCATCTCCCCACGCGTGTGTTCATTAAAAATCATCGTTTGACTTAACTCTTCTGGACCAGTGTTGTTTTTTGCCCATCCTCAATATCTGAACCCGTAACACAGTCAAGCATGTGCATGGTCAAGACAACCCGCTGAATTTCACAGCTAGCATCGGAATAAGGAAGAAAAAATATTTATGCAACTTTCTCTGCTAGGAAGGCAACAAGAAGTAAAATAAGCTATTGTTACAACCAAAGTGTGCAGAAGAGCTTCTAAGAACTTGAAGCTGGGCCACAGCAGCAGAAGACCAGACTAAGTGCCACTCTGTCAGCTAAGAACAGAAAACTAAGCTGAACCTGCTTCGCAGTACAACCTCCACTGTTTACTGGTGTTATTTAGTCAATCAATAGTACTCAGGTAGAAAATGTGCAATTATGTCACCAGCAGCCTGGTGATACAATGCAGGCTGTATCCACACTTTAATGTTGTTTACACCAGATTTTTACCCGAGTATTCAAATGTGACAGCAGAAACTGAGACTCATCAGTCCAGGCAACATTTTTGCAGCTTTCTATTGTCCAGTTTTGGTGAGTGTGTGTGCAGTCTCAGTCAGGACATCTTTTCCTTATCTGGTTTCACTTATCATCAGTCAGGCAAAGATGGATGCCAGTTTGATAAATAAGCCCAGAGCTCATCAAAGTAAAGAGAAGTGTGTTAAGAAGTGTCACTGACAATCTCTGACCAATCACAGACACGGACAGGTCTACTGATAGCAGAACGACAGATTTTACACAGCAAGTAAAACGATGACTTTAGAAAAATATGAAGAGATAAAAAAAAATAAACAAAATAAATACATTTCCTAAATATGGGATAAATGAAGGTTTTCCTGTTATTTATATTACAAGTTAAAAGCAGCAGAGTGTGAGCTCTGAGTGCTTTGGTCAGTAAAACTGGAAAAGAGCTGCTGTGTTGGTGATGCAGTTTAGCCTGAAGACAGGATTTCAGCTAACAGGAGAAAAGCAGGTCTGAAAATATTC